CCTGGTGCGCTGCCTGCGCCTCGGCCACAGGTTCGGCGGGCTGGTGCTCAGTCCAATGGGCTCCCAGTACGTGTCCCCGGCAGACAGGTACGAGTGGGGGGCCTGGGTGCCCCGACTCTCGTCTTTGTAAGCCACCCTGTCTCCAGCGCGTCATTCCCTTCACGGTTCACGTATTTATGGTTGTGTGCCATGCACGCATGCCTTCTCCATAAGCAGGGGGTGTAATTTGCCCCCTTGCCTAGCATGTAGAAGGGCCTAGGATAAACGCTGAGCGAGTGAATGAGCATTCTTCAAGTGCTAACAGCGACTCCTTCAAAAGCTTACCCACAAGCACCTTTTGTAGGTATTTAGGGATAAGGAAATGCTGTCCTGTATCCCTAGTCAGGTGTTTCCGGAGCATATATCACTTCGGGCCATCATTTAAGTGCTGCTGGCCCTCAGAACTTCGCCTGTGCTCTCCTTGGCAGACAGCTGGTGGCTCAGTCTGGGGTCGCTGTCATAGACTGCTCGTGGGCCAGACTGGATGACACCCCCTTTGGGAAGATGCGAGGGAACCACTTGCGACTGCTACCCTACCTGGTGGCTGCGAACCCTGTAAACTATGGCCGGCCCTACAGACTTTCCTGTGTGGAAGCATTTGCTGCTGCTTTCTGCATCATGGGTGAGTTTCAGGTCTGCCATCAGCCCAACCTGATGTTTTAGTCTGCTGGTCTGACTCAAAGCAGACTCCTAGCTGTCAGGACAGCCCTTCAGTCCCAACTCCCACTTGAGCCTTGGCCTTGTAGACTTGGAGGGGAGCAGGAGACAGCTGTCTACCAGGTGGGCAGGGGTGTCTTGTCAAGGCAGCACTGCCCTGAAATCTGTGGAATTTATGGCCTAAATGGAGGCCCATGAGATGTGAAGACAAGCTTGGTGGGACTCCGGTTTCACTGAAGGAGAGGGATGGCAGATGGGGGTTGCAGCAAGAGAGGCAGACCGGAGGGCAGGCGTGGACTGTTGGGACTTTGTTGCCTGTTGAAGACGCTCAGCCCTCTGGCACAGTAGCACTGCCCAGTAGTCAGTATTACAAGCACAGCACTCTCTAGAGCCATGATGGCGAACCTTTAGAGCTTTCAATGATACAAACAGCCCACTGTGGCATGCATGCCATAGGTTTGCCACTGTTCCTTCTTGGGGGATCATTGAGGTCTTCAGGTTTTCTGTGCCGTTAGGCTTTTCAGATCTTGCTGTCATTTTGCTGCGGAAATTTAAGTGGGGCAAGGGCTTCTTGGACCTGAACCGCCAGCTCCTGGACAAGTATGCATCCTGCAGTGGACCTGAGTCAGTGCTACAAGCAGAGCAGGAGTTCCTGGCCAGTGCCAAGGAGGGCCCCAAGGAAGAGGAAGAAATTGGTGAGGACTTTATGAATGGGACCACCTTAGGACTGTACCTCCTGAAAAGCCTGCGGTAGGGCTTAATCTGCCCTGGGCTCACTTACAGCTCGCTTTCCTCTTTGTTTAGACCCATTCGATGTGGATTCAGGGCGAGAGTTTGCAAATCTCAACAGGCCTGTGGCCACTATCCGGTAAGCCCTGGCTTCCCTTGACCTCTGGTCTCAGGTCTTCCTGCACATAGGGGTGTCCTACTTACTACGTGACACCTGAGTGGTGTGACAGTTTGTAAAGCACACATGGACCAGGGTGGGTTTGGCTTAGTAGGGAGAGGGGTGTCTTTGGCCTGGGGGCCTTGTGGGTGAGGACATAGGGGGGGCTACCTTGGACTGACCAGGTATGGCACCACCCTTCTCCCTCCAGGCTTCCTGTGGACACAGATAGTGATGAGTCTGAAGAGCAAGAGCTTGAAGACAAGGATAGAGAAGACAATAGCTGCTTCCAAGAGACTCTGGAAGGAGGGGATGAGGCCAGGGCCTCAACTGAGATTTAGAAAAGAATCAAGAAACAGCAGAGTTTGAAGGGTGCAGACACATTGTTGAAGAAGAGTAATAGGACTCCAGAGACAGCAGTGAGACACGGGCGTGGACAAGTTACGGACAGAATGGGACTTGTTACAATTCAAGGATGGGCTTGCTGGGTCGGGGTCCTGTCCTGGAGTTCTCTCAATGAAGCTACAAACTGAGGAGCGCCCCAGTGTCTATGTGCATTTGGCCTGGGGGTTGGGGGTACACCTGGGGGTTTGGACTGTGGGGTCATGTGTGAAAGGACGGCTGGCTGGTGGGTCTGTGGGTGACATCCCCCATCTCACAGTGACCCTGGGGGAACCTTTCCCAGGCCCAAGAACCTAGTTGGGAGCTGTGATTCTCAGCAAGCCTCCCCTGTTCATTCCACTGTGGGTGGGGTCCAGAGCCAGGAGAGGGAGCACAGCAGACTTTCTTGCCCATGCCCTCCACTTGGGGCTCTGGTCATTGCTTCCCTCCAGTTCTTGGGTCCTCCAAACCTGATCCCTAGCCTTCCTACCTCTTGGCTATTGGGGGTCTTTCTCTAACCAAGGAGACTGGAGTTTCCTCCAAGAGGAGCTTTCCTTGGAGGCACTACTCACAGTGGGGATGGGCCATTCTTTGGGGACTGACTGACACAATGTAGGATACTGAGCTGCGTCCCTGGCCACTACCCTCAAGCTAGTACACCATCACATCCCAGTGTGACCAAAACAGTCTCCAGACGTTGCCTGGCCTAATGGCCCCTAGAGAGCAAGAGGCCACTGAAACCAGCTGCCCATTGTTCCACTGCCTGTGAGCCCGAAAGAAAGGCATCAGCTGACTAGGTCCATCCTGTTCTGCTCTGTCCAGGGGCCACTGTTGGCCAGCTCCTTCCAAGCTCCCCCCATATTCAGGGTGGGGCATGCTGGGGTGCAAGAGGTTCACGGCACAAACCAAAGGGACACAGCAAGAGTAATGGTACCACGCTTCAGATGGAGGAGCAGGAGGCGGCAGCACAAAGCTGGACAGCTGGTGGGGTTGGGGGAGGCCTCAGGGATCCGCCTCCATGGACTTCTCCAGCTCCTTGAGCTTCTTCACAAACTCCTGTGCCTCTTTGTTGGTGCGGCCCTCCAGCATCCTCAGCGTTGACCTCACTGCAGGCAGACGGGCAGGTGTGTGAGGTCGCACCTCCCCTCCCTTGACCCCACCACCTCCTCACACTCACTTACCCTGGGCTCTGGGCCGGCGCAAGTGCAGGGTGATGGGCTGCCCTGCCCGCACTCCCCCACCTACTTGGGGCCTTGAGATGCCACTGACCCCACTTAGTCCGAGGGCCGCCTCCCCAGCAAAGTCATTGGTAGATAGCCAGTCATGGTCCATGACAGTGAATAACACGCAGGCCCCGCGGCGGCGGCACGCCTCTGCAGACACAGAGCTGCAAATAGGGCAGTTAGGGGACAGTCGGGAACCGCCTGTGGCCTCGTAGGATAGGCTGAGGCAGCCAAGGACACTCACAAGTAGAAGAGATCATCATATATGGGGTGCAGCGTCCGGGATTTGACCTGGGTCCTCTGGCTGCGGACCAGTGGGAAGAGATGTGGGGGTCCCAGCTCCACAATCACAAAAGGGTCACTCAAGCCTAGGGGGCATGTGGCCATGAGCAAGTCATTCCCACCAGCCCCCAGCCCCCCTCCCACACCCCACCATCACCCTGCCCCACCATTGGTATCCAGGGGGAGCAGGTCCGCAGCATGCAGCACCTCCACCGCAAGCCGCTGCTCAGCTGCCTCATAATAGCAACGGATGCTCAGGCGACCAAACCGATTCTGCTCCAGGGACCTCTGTGGGAAAGGTGAGTGTGCAGAGCTGGGGCTCGGGTGCAGCTGGCGTGGACAGCAGACAATGGCCATCTTACCTGCTTGAGCTTATCCAGATAAAACTGCTCAATGCACTCGCGTGTGGAGCATTTGTGCAGCCGCAGCTCCTCCTCCAGCCTCTGCAGGGAAAGGGACCCAAAGATCCCTGGTCAGCACTGGCCACAGGCAGCCAAGGTGTCTTTAGGTGGGTAGCATCCACCCTGCCTAGACTGCCTGGTCTGTTGCAAGGCAGCTGGTGGAGCTGGGCCCTTAGAGGGCCAGGCCTTACCTTGTAGCTCCCATCCTTGAGGCTCTCTAGGGGCAGTCCCTGGCCCTCAGCATGGAAAAAACTAACCAGAGCCTGGTGCAGGGAAAGAAGGGGGATGTCAGGAAGCCAAGCGGCTGTGGGTCTAGGGAGACACAGCAAACCATTTCTCACACCTGGATGCATCAGGTCCCAGGAAGCCTGGGAAGGTGACAGCCCTGAGGCCCCAAAGCTGTCATCCCAGGTGGCCCAGGTGAGGCTGGGCGATGGGGAAGGAAGTACTCCCTGTTGAGCCCTGGAGGAGCTGGCAGAGGCTGGGTATCCTGGCAGGGGACAGGGGGAGGTCCCTCAAGCTCCACGTGGCCTACCTCCAGTGTGAAATGGAAGCGCCCACAGAAGTCTGCAGAGACGTCACTGTTTGCACCCAGTGCCTGCAAAATAGCCTGGAGGAGCAGCTCCCAGAGGGACTCCAGCACCCTGCAAGGACACAGAATGGGTAACCACCAGGCCACATGCTCCCTACCTGCCCAGCTCATATCTGCCCAGCCCATACCTGCCCAGGTTCTCCTTTACCAAGGAGGCATTCAGCAGGGCCAGCTTCTCATCCAGGTACTTCATGAGTGGAGCTACAGCCTGTGGGCAGGGATCCTCAGGGCCGGCCAGCTACGTACACACTCAACCACTCTCCGCTCGCCCACACACACATACCTCGTCGTTCTGAATGGAGTCTGGGGAGAGGCTGATATGCTGCACGTACTTCCTGATGTCAGCCACCATCTGCAGAGATGATCCTCAGCACTGGTGGGGGACACCAGGGACAGCCCCCACGCCAGGCCGTGGCCCACTGCCCACCTTGGAGGTCAGATGTGCAGTCACAGTGTGGGACTCCCTCTGCAGGTCCTCCTCCAGGGCCTGTGTGCAGCTGAGCAGGGGCCGGGGAAGCGTGGCCTCCACTCCCCCAACACCCTCAGGCCAGGCCAGGCCCCGCAGCGCCTGCCCGGAAGCCCTGCGCACCAGCTCCACGTTGTTGAGCACCACGCAAAGCTAGGGAGGGCAGGCAGAGGCAGGTGGGTACAGTCAGGGGCAGCCCCAGCCAGCCCCCTGCAGCCTCACCTGCCCGGCCAGCCACCCACCGGCTCGCTCACTGCTTCGCCCACAGCCCCGGGCTGGGTGTCGACTTTCTTCCGCAGCAGCTCCGCGTAGAAGAGGGCTGCCTCGCACAGGTCCTGGGGTGAATTGGGGGTGGAGGGCTGGGACCTGGGGCTCCTCCCCGGCCTCACAGTCCTCTCAACCTGCTTCCCTGCTCCCCAGATGCCACACCTGGCTGAGCTGAGTCCCAAGTCCCTGAGCCTGGGTAGGGTCAGGCCATGCAAGGCGGACCCAGAACTCCTGGATGTGGCTGAAGCAGAGGCTGGCAGTGGCTGCGGAGCTACTGTGCTTGGAGGAGGCATCCACAGGTTCCAGCTGGAAGGCAGGAGGCAGTCTGCATCACAGGTCGCACAGGATGAGCCCCAGGGTCCTTATGCCCAAGCGCTGACTCACCGTGTCCACATCCACTGCTCCCTGGAGGCGCCACTTGACTTGGTCTCGCAGCCCCTGCAGCCAGGTCTTCACGGCAGGCAGGAATGGGGTATGGATGCCCGCCAGGGCCAGGGAGCGGCCATCCCTGTGGTGGGAATGTGGTCGGAGCCTGTCTCTACTCACACACCCCAGCGCTTATCTGGAGAGCAGGGGTCAGGGGCACCCACCGGCCAGGGATGCAACTCCAAAAGCGCTGGGTGTCAGCCAGGGTCAGGTACAGCTCAACAAGCCCTGAGGCCACCTGGAGAGTCATCTTGGGGCTCAGTTCTTCAGTTAGCACCCACGCCTCCTCAGCCAACTGCCCAGATTTGGGAGGAGGAGTGTCAGACCGCCAAGAAAAGAAACAGGGTCCCCCTTGGCTGGGGGGCTCTCACTTCCCCATGCCCAGCAGGCACCCCCAGTCGGAACCCTCCTCACCAGGCGCTCCAGCTGCCGGAAGGTAAGGGTGAAGAAGTCCACCTTGAGGATCCTGCAAAGGACATGCCTCAGCCTCCTACCCCGACTGCTGGCCTCTTCAGCCCCACCTGCTCCACACGGGTGCTGAGCAACAGTACTTACCCATGGAAGAGGCTGGCATAGATGCCATAGCAGGCTTGAAAGTCCTCGTAGATGATGTCTGCCAGCTCCACGAGGCCGGTGAGGCGCTGGGGCCCTGGCTGTAAGGAGGCTTGGCTTGTATTCCCTGCTCAGGCCCCTGCACCCACCGTGGCCAATCCCTGCTAAGCCGCACCTGCTCTCGGGGACTCTTAGCGTTCAGAAGCCTGCCGTACCACTCACGGTTGCCTCTCTGCAAGAGGAAGCCACCAGGCACCATGGTAGGGTAGAGAGACATGGGAAGAGGGAAAGACGGGAGGAATCATGGAACACAGGGTGGACAAGGCCAGAGGGGTCCAAACACACCTTCAGGGCGGCAGCGATGTCCATGTTCAGCTCCGTCTCAAAGGGGCAAATCTCGAAGGAGGGCTGGAAGAACTGCAGCTTGTGCAGGCACCTGGAGGTCAGGGGTGTGGTCACGGGGCGGGCCCCCGCCAACCCTCTTGCCGCCCCCTACCCATGCAGCACCCACTTCAGCAGCAGCTCCAGACGGTAGACAGCTGTGCTGTTGGTGGCAGGGAAGTAATCTCGGAGCTGGCGCAGCAGCTGCAGCCCATACTCAGAGAAGGCAGAGAAGCTGTCAGCCAGACTCTCCTCCTACAGGTAAGGACGGGGCTCATCAGAGCTAAAGATGCTCGAGCTGCCTGCCAGCCCTGCTCACAGATGCTGACAAACACCTCTGTTCCTGCTGCCAGCGGTTTCCTCCCCACGTGGCTATCCCAGGCCTGCCTGGCCCTTCCACTGACCCCTCCCTCCCCCTAGTGGTCTCCCCGTTTGTGACTCAGTCTTGGCTTCCAAGACTCCCCCTGTCCCGCTCTGCCCAGTTCCTCCCTCGGGGACTTTGTGCACACTGACCCCTCCCCCTAGTGGTCTCCCCGTTTGTGACTCAGTCTTGGCTTCCAAGACTCCCCCTGTCCCGCTCTGCCCAGTTCCTCCCTCGGGGACTTTGTGCTCACTGCTCCCCCCGCCCCACCCTTCCAGCATCCACTCCCTTCTACTGCTCAGAGCCTCACCACCTCAGTGCCGATATCCACGGCCTCCTTCCCCAGGTTACTCCAGTGCAACCCCTTCTCCTTCCAGCACGGCTTGTCTGCTCTCTCTGATTTGTCTGTTTTCAACCTGAGAGCAGGATTCTGCCCCTCCTGCCCACACAGACCAGGGCTGACCCCAACACAACCTTCACCAATACCAGGCAAGCCCATGGCAGCGCGGGCACCCACCTGCTCCTGGGGCAGTGAGGCTGCCTCTTCCCAATGTGCCTGCATGTCTTCCAGAAGCCCCAGCAGGTAGCCATAGTCCAGAGTGCAGGTCTGATGGTGGCGGCTGCTGACCTGCCAGTGCCTATAGGGCCCCAGCCCAAGGTCAGACAGCACCTTGTCCTGCCGCACCATGGAACCCCGCCCATATCATCATCCTGCCTACTCACAGCACGGCCAGCTGCAAGGGTGACAGGTTACTCTGGGCTCCGTGTAGGCAGAGGACTGTGGACCCAGGCCCGCTGAATTCACCATGCCAGCTGCTTGAATTTGACTAGGGAAGGAGGCCAGGGTGGATGGAGATGGGAGATCCTTCACTCTGTCCTCAAGCCTCTACCCAGCTGTCCCACTTCCCAGGGTGCCTGCTACCTCCTCTGCTCGGTGCTCGAACTGCAGTATTCGGCTCAGGATCAGCAGGTAGGAGAGGAAGCCGGAGCGACCACGCTGGCTCATGACTGTGTCCCTCTGGAACACAGGGCCTCTGATCACTGCTCGGCCTGGGGCCTGGGGCCCAGGATTCAGGGCAGGCTCCCCATGGCTCCCTACCTGTGTGGTGATAAGCTTGAGGACTAGGTGGCAGTCTCCCTGCACACGTGAGGCGCTAGAGCGTGGTTCCAGCTTGAACCAACGGTCAGCACCGGCCACTGGCACCTCCTGAGAGAGGCAAATGGAGAAAAATCAGACCTAGGGGATTCCCTGCCTCCCCTCCCACACGGGGGAGCCCTGGGGAAGACACAGGGGACATCCATGGAGTCCAAATGCAAGGGTGGCTGGGGTGGCCCCGTTCCCTGCAGCCCAGGGAAGGTAGGAGGCTTGGGGGAACCCAGGACACAACCACTGCTCCCTGAGTGTAACCACCCCATCTTTAGCTCACACACCCGGACAGGGATGTTGAGGCATCCCAGGAAGTCATCAGTGTGGTCCTCCGTGGGCCCTGGTGTCCCATTTGCTCGAGCTGACTTGACAATCTGTTTGAAGTACCTGGGCAAAGCAGGGTGGCATCATGCTGGGGGTCACTGGGGACTCACCGCCACTGGGTGCCTGCGGTCAAGCAGAAGGCTTGGGTGGGGCACAAGGATCCTACTCCCTGTACCTGCTCATGCCCTTGAGGCCGATGACTTCATTCAACTTCCTGCATGCTTCTGCCAGGGACACATCATCATCATGATCCCTGGAAAGGAGGTGGTTTGTCTGCAGCTCCTACCAGCTTAGATCACCCCTAACTCCCAGACTGAAGGTACCCACTCCCCTGCCCTGCAAGGCCCAGGGTCCTGTACCAGATGTCCAGGTGCAGCTGGTCCGTGCTGACATCTTCGATCTCGCTATAAGGAACAGAGATGCCATAAGGGTCCTGGGCAAGCCTCTGCCTGGGGCAGGGGTTAGGGTCGCGGGAGCAGGAAGTGGCCATAAGTTCCAGCTATCCAGCCAGGCTGAAGGTTCCTAATCCTGACTCTGCCACCTACTGCCGGTTGTATGGCCTCAGGGGCAGGACACTTTCTGGGTCTCAGTTCCCTATCTGAAGAATGGCCATGTGAGCCCTACCCCAAGAGTTCCTGGGGCAGTGGGAACCTGTGAGCATCACCCTTGAGAGACTCAGCTGTCAGTGGGGTTGGGGGGGCCCTTACAACAGGAAGTGCTCCTTCCAAACAGGGTTCAGGGTGCTGCTCTTGACTTCTGTGACCTGGATGCACTTGGCTGGTAGCGGACTGCTGTGTTTGCTGCCCTTGCGGAAACCGAAGCGCTTTTCTTTTTGCCCGCTCTGCTCCCGAGGGGTGCCCGAGCCTGGCAGGATGCCCAGCATGCAGTACGGGTCACTGAAACCTGAGACAGGGTAGGTGCGTTAGCCTGAGCCTTGCCCTCTGTCCTCCACGGCTGCCAGATCTGGGCACAACGAGCTGCTGGGGCCCCACTCACCATTGGGGTCTTTGGCCAGAAGGTTCTTGGCACTCATGACGGAGACTTTCAGGGTGTAAGTGGGGGCCTGCAGATGGAGGAGCACTGGGGAACTTGTGGCACTTACGGTGTCAGCATGAGCACAGCCACCCCTCCTTTGCCATCCCCTAATTCCCAGCTGGGCAGGCAGTGACCTTACCTTGGCCTTTTTCACACGCTCGATGGCCTCGGTGTGTTCCTCAGGGCTGGTGCCAAACACCTGTAGACAGGGTGGTATTCGGGGCCCAGGTGAGCCCCAGGGAGAAGCTGGTCACTTTCCTGGGGACCTTGGGCACTCCAGCCAGGAAGGGAATGACCAAGTGCCCGCTATGAAGAAGGAGGCAGTGAAAGGAAGTGAGGCCTACCCTCTGTCTGTCCTAGGAAGGCTTGGGGTAGGGTGTAGCCAAGGCATGAGCACACTTCGCAATGCCAGGTGCAGTGCCAGCAGGCCAGGACACATGCAGAAACAGTGTGGAGTGCTGGCCAGGAACCGGTGTTTAAAGCACACATATAGGATGGAAAGTGTCTGTCCACCCTCTCTGAGCAGCTGTCTGGTCTCTCCGACCATTTTTGTGTCCATCTGTCTCGTGTCCTCTGCACGTACATCCACATATCTAACCAGCTCTCCATCCTTCCAGGTGTGTCGGCCTGTCTGTCCACCTGTTCACGGATGTGTCTGTGCAGGTGCCTGTCTCCGCACCTGTCATGTGTTCTGTTGTTGACGTGACAGTGACACCAGGAGAAGGGGGTTTCAGTCCTCACCAGAGTGGGGTGGGCAAGGCTGCCAGCTCACCTGTTGCACGTAGCCCAGAAGGATCTCCTCATCGTCCACCTGGTCAGGGCCCATGGTGCCAGCCCGGTGGAGGACCGTATACAAGGCCTCCTCGTACAGCATCTTCACCTGTGGGGGCCAGGCTCTGAGTCCCTGGCCAGCTGCTGCAAGTAGGTCTCAGGCCCCTGCCAGCCACAGGCTGCACGCCCAGCCCCACACTGTACCTCCCTAGTGGAGCCTAGTCCCTACCCAGTGTCTCCACACCTGCTATCTCCACCCTAACCACCCCGCCCACCTGTGCTGTCCACCTGTCACAGGACCCCAGGTCCCACAGTCTCAGGAACAAAAGTCATCGGTCCTCCCCAATCCTCACCTCCTCCTGGGTCAGGGCTCTCAGGCCACGGTTGAGGTCCACAGGTTCAGCGGGGGCTGGCGAGCTGCTCCGTAAGAGGACCTGCGAGAGGTGCTGTGGTAAGGGTCTCGGGTGGGGTCTGGCCTGTAGCTGCCCCACCGCGACACCACGGTTATACAGATAGGGCTGCTCCAGGGAGAAAGGAGAGGAAGGTGGGGAGAGATTGAAGTAGATGAGCCAGGTGGGGTTGCAGCCCCAGACCCTGCAGGGGCGTCTCACCTCAGGACAGGGCAGGCCTTGTCTGCCTTCTTCCTTCTTCAGGATGAGGCGCATGTGGGCAAAGAACTCCATGCCATCCCCAGGTTTCCTGGAAAGAGGTCAGTCAGCTCTTGGAGTCACAGGACGCAGGAGGTCATGCATAGGACAGCAGCAGTGTGATGCCCAGCACGCTCCTGGCCTTGAGCACAGAGCCTCACAGCCTTGCTTCCATGCAGAGCGGGTACCCACCAGGCCCTGGTGGCAGGTTCCGGTGGGTCAGCACTGGTGCTCCCGGGCTCCGGCTCTGTCTTTCGGCGGAAGGAAGGGCACACTTGCACCTGCCTGAGCACGCTGCTCTTGATCTCCAGCAAGGTGGACATGGTGGGAACCTGCAGCAGAGTGTGCCTATGACTTTGGGCCAGGCGTCACTAAGCCCACAGTGGGGGTTAGCAGGCTGGAGGCCAAGGGGAGAAACACTGTGCTGGGTTTCCCTGGGGTCTTCAAGGACTCCAGCCACCACACCTCCCAGGCGTGCCCCCTGCAGAATGACACTGGAGATATGGTGGCAGATAACATCAAAACGTATGGTAGTTCCCATCTTCGGGCCAGAGCTCCACGTGGAGCTGCTGAGATCTTACCGGGAAGAGACTGTTCTATCACCCCCCAGTTCAGGACTGGGGCTCCAGCAATGCCCATGGCACCTACGACAGCATGACAGGAAACATCTGTGCCTCTGAGAACCTCACCCAGAGGGCCAAGATGCTGGGGAGCATGCCCAGCTCCCCTGGCCCAACAACCACCTGGCCCTTTTCTGCAGGAGGCCAAACCACCACGTGGGGCCACAGAGCAGCATAGGTGGGACCACGCCCTGGGCCAACGAACAGCTGCTCACATGGCCAGAATGCTTAGGAAGAGGCTTTGCAGGATTGTCCCAGGGGCTGGTCACAAAAAAATGGCTGGGTGGAGGGAGTGGAGCCAAGAATGGTAGTGCAAGCTTGAAGTCCTCAGCTCTAGCTGAGGCAGGATTGCTGCCATTTTGAGGCCATGATGGGCTATTTAGTAAGTTTAAGGCAAGACTCTGGTTCAAAAAAGAAAAGAAAAACCAGGAGGGCAGCGCCCCCTAAAAATAAGAGATTGCTCTCCATAGTTGGCACAAATGAAACCCAAGTGTGTGAAAGTGCTGCCCCCTCAAGGGTGAAGATCTGCCTAACTATTAGCCTCTTGTTCTCTCCTCTTGAGTCTGGCCAGACAACAGCCTTCCAGTACCTTGTTGGGCTCACTAGGACCCTGGCTAGAGTGTAAGGGAATAAGATGTGTAGTCCAGGGGTGGGTGGGGACCGGACCCTCCCTCACCTCAACCCAGATGAGAAAGGCCAACTCTTCTCCCCCAGTCTGGTGCATCCTGCTTGGAGCAGCAGGAGCTACCTAGATGTCACTGCTTCTGGGACAGACAGCAGTCCTTTGCCTAGAGTAGAGTCTGCTCAGCCTAATCCCTGTCACTCTGCTAAGAACCTTGGAAGAAACAGGCTCAGAATAAGCAGGTCTGGATGGGGGCTGAGACACAGAATGGGACAAAGCAACAGTCTTGGCCCTGAATGCTGGGGATGACACTTTCCCTTTTCAGGCCCAGGGTCCTTTCTGAGAAATCCTGCTGCTCACATTTCTTTCTGGGTCCTCAGGCCCAGCCCACCTGTATCATGGATGAAGGCACAAGTCAGTGTCCCCTCTTCAGAGGGGCTTGAGTTTTCCCTGGAGGGCCCCAAGTTGAGGGGAAGGATGACAGCCAGGGCACCAGGGCCTCCCAAGTCCCCCTCACCATACCCTTCCCCCCAGACACCTACCTCTGCCCCGGGTCATGAAAAAACCTCTATCCCTGTGCCCTCACAGCCCTAGGGAGCCCTCCCTCCCCTGATGAGTGTTCCACAGCCAGGCCACCTGTCACACAAGCCCAGCCCTTGGCTTCCCTGCCCCACCTCACCAGCCTCTTGTCTATAGGATGCACTCTACCCCCAGGCCACCACATGCCACGAGACCTTTGAACTTTTGCCTGGGTCTCCCTCCCTCCCTGATGCTCTCTCATCCACCCAGACACGTCAGTCCTCACAAAGAGGGGCTGTTACTTCTGTTTCACAAAAGCACACAGACTCAGCAGACTCCACTCTTTGCCCGGGATCTTAGGAGCAGTTAGCAGAGGGCGAGAGCCATGCTAGGTGTCTCCAAGGGCCAAGCCAGGCTGGCCCTGTTCACCACCTGCCACTAGTTCTACTGGGAACACCTGGCAGCTGGTGGCTCCAGACAGACGCTGAGCAAACGGCCTGCTGCACCTGGCATGGGGGGGGGTCCCCACCCCTGGACAACACCTCACCCTATTCCCTTACACTCCAACCAGGATCGTGAGCCCAGCAAGGTACTGCACTCAGAAGGCTGTTGTCTGGCCAGACCCAAGAGGAGAAGGAGAGAACAAGAAGAGGCTAATTGGGCTGTCCTTTATCCTTGAGGGGGCAGCACTCGGGGGCCAAAAATAAAAGCCTTGCTGCCTTCAAACCTCTATGTGTTCTCCACTACCCTCCTCCCAAACCTGAGTTGGGGAATGGGCTGGGCAGAATGTTTTAAAAATTGTTGTCCCAGAGCCAGCCTGTAATCCCAGCACTCAGGAGGGTGAGGAAGAGGATCACCAGGAGTCTGAGGCCAGATTGGGCTTCATAGTGAATTTAAGGCCAGCCTGAACTACAAAAGGAGACCCTGCCTCCACAAACAAACCATCAAACAAACAAAAAAACTGTTGCCAGGGCCAGGGATTTAACTCAGTGGTTCCGGCACTGCCTTGCAAGCGCAAGGACCCTTTGATCCCTGGTACAAAAAAAAAAAAAAAAAAAAAAAAAAAAAAAAAAGAAAGAAAGAAAGAAAAAAACCAAAAAAACCAAAAACAAAAACCAAAAACGGTCACCAGCAGTGATGCATACCTGCAACCCTAGGACTCTGGGAATGTAAGTTGAGCCCAGGAAAGGTGACTTAGTGATTTAGTAAGACCACGTCTCAAAATGACTGGGGATACAAAATAATAAGGGCTGTGTGGTGAAGGCCTGGATTCAATCCTCAGTATCAAAAAACAAACACAACAAAAACAACTCTCCATATCCCCCACACGCACAGGCAGAGCTGTTGCCCCATAACCAGTCCTGAGACCCCTGGGTGCCGGGAGTCATAGGCCCGTCTTCTCCCTAGTTGAACGGAGAGCAGAGAGGCTGCACCCCTTGTCCCCTAAGCCTGCAGAGCAGCCTCTGTTTGAGTTGTTGCCAGGGCAACCGCCAGCACATCTGAGTGTGAAGGGCCACAGGGGCTCTGGATAGCAGAGACAAATATGACGCAGATGCTTACCAGCCTGAGCTGCAGCACTGGGTGGCTCAGTGAGAACAAATCGTCTAAGCAGAAGGGGGCCAGACACCCCGTCTCCATTTTTCACTCAGCATCTCACCTGGTAACACCTGTAGCCAGTCTGAGTCAGGAATGAATGCTGCTCAGCCCCTTGAGCTCAGATGAACTCACCCTAGGCCACACAGCCAGCAGGTGGCAGCCTGGGACTGAGGTGCTGGCGTCCCAGCATTAAACTGGGACAGCCTGAGGATCAGATCTAGCTGCTCCCGACCCCTCAGCCCACTTCTAGGTTGGGGCTAACAGCAGCGTCTCAGCACTGGGGTACATGAGAGGTGGCTCATCTCGGTGCCCAGAACAGCTACTCTGCCCCTGGCCCTCAGGAAATCTCAGGGCAGAAGATAACCTTGTTGACCCAACAAGCAGGATCCTGGGGCTACCTGTCAAGGTTCCCAGTGGTGATGTGACTCTGTGCCCCATCTCACCATCAGCGTTTCCAGAGAGCGCAGCACAGAGCAGGACATGCTCATATCCCTGCGTGTGCCTGACTACTGACACCGGGGCCAAAATTCACTGCTTGTGTCCAACGTGTGAGCTGATCAAAGAGGTTTTGCCATACAGCTCTGAGGCTGAGCCAAATCTAATGGCTCACCCTTGTCACTGGACAAGAAGTGGCAGCACTGGTGCCTGTCATAGCCTAGGGCTGGGCACCTTGTCTAGAGCCAAGATTTGAACTGAGGGCTGGCAAGCCAAGCTGTCTTGTTAGGCTATTTGAGGCATGTGGTACGAAGGTGGCTCTGCCGGCAGCTGAGGAGAGCCTGAAAGGCCTTCTTATTATAAATGCCTCCACAGCCCTGAGATTGGGGGGCCCCCTTCTTTGTGCACCTGGATTCCTGAGACTGGACAAAGGCCATCCTTGGTGGGACAGGTTGTCAGCCTGCCCCACTGGCTTTCCTGCACCCCCACCCACGGTCATTTTTGGGGGTGTTTTTCTCCCTTTTCCTGTCCCACTCTGTGTCCCTCCCGGCCTCAGTGTCCCCTGAAGCAGGGCAGAGCCCAAGGGCAGCTTACCTGGCTTTGCTGGAGGGAGGTGCAGCTTATGGGGGGGTGGGGCCTGCTGCTCACAGGTGCACCTGGTCGCCCAGGACCACCCGCGGGATGGGGCTGGGAGTGCTCCCGTAAGGCCTCTTACCTTTCTCACCAGCCTCTGCCGAGATGCTCCTCCCTCCCCGCCCCTCAGTTCTCCAGGGTCCTGCTCTCCCTGGAAGGGGTAGGTTCCAAGGGTATTTGGGACCGGTCTGGCTGCAGTGTTTCACCCCCAGCTATGGGAGGGAAATTCCCGGGCAGCGCACGGTGGGGGTGAGGTGGGCTCTCGCTGGCAAGGGTTAAGGGGGTCCCGCAAGAGGGTCGCAGGGAAGCCCCGTGGAGTCTCCGGGGTCCTTGCTCCTCCTCTTTTTGCGGCTCCCTTGGGAAGGGGGAGCGGGCGGGGGCCGGTGGTCGCCGTTGCCCTCACCCCAGCCTCGCAGGTGCGGCCTTGCTCTCCTCCCCCGCGCC